CAACTAGGGGTGCTAGTTCCTAGCATATGACATATCAGCATAGGTTTGCTGACTGCAACCAATGGGACACTGTGGGCTGTGACAGTGGAGGAGAGACTGGGTACGCATGGTGGACCAGAAGATATTTTGGAAGTCTCTCAACTTTCTGTTCAATCTTGTTGTGAACTAAAAACTGCACTAGAGAATAAAGTTTAGTTTTAAATGTAAACTGATATCTTAGTTGATTTATAACACCTGGTCTAAAGTTCTGTGATTTAAAAAAAAAAAGAGCAATACAATTTTTTTGCAATTGTAAAATAGTTGACTCGTATATAATATTTTCTTTCTTCACTTTAGAGAAATATAACAAGGGAAGTGGTTTGATTGCGCTGGGAGTGAAATTGCTAGATCTAAGTAGATATGAGTGCCAAATGTATGCAGTTTAAGAGCAGATAGAACTGGACAAGTGGGGAAAAGTGGAGCTGCTATAGTGTGGATGTCTATGCCCACCTCAAGCCTTTTATTGAGATCCTCGCCTTTAAGGTGATGCTCACATGTGGGGGCCTTTGGAGGACCAAGTCATATGGGCAGACCTTCGTGAACAGGATTAGCACCTTCACCCCTTCCACCATGAGAAGACCCAGCAAGAACGAGGAGTGTATGAACCAGAAAAGCAGGCAGTCCCCAGGCATGGAACCTGCTGTAGCTCAGGGTTTCCTGGACCCCAGAACCATGAGAAATACATCTCTATGTTTGTATACTACCCCGTTTATGACATTTTGTTACAATGACTAAGAGAACAATTATTGAGTCAAAGTCCCACATCTTATAAGTAAGGAAAATGAGGCTGTGGGTCACAAGATGATTAAAAGACAGAAAAGAATGAACTCAGTGTCTGCTTACCCCAGCAATTCAACACAATTATAATAAAGTTCTTAAAATTCAGAGATGCTAACATTTTCTTCTCCCATGTATTCATTTTTTTTCCCCAGAAGACATGACACCAATTAGTATATTTCTTTGGCTGATAATACTCATCAACCTTTGTATATTTACTCATTTATTCCCAGAGGTCATTAAATTTTTTTTGTTTGTTTTAGAAATTCTTAAACAGCCTAAGAAAACATTTTACTGACAGTGAATGTAAAATGCAAGTGTTTATTACTAAAGTCAAGGCTATGCTCACCACCCTATCATTGTTAGTGAGAAGCTAGAATCTTGGCCGACCTCTTGCAGAGGTAAAAATCCACCCATGGTGGGAGCAGCTGCGACTGTGACGGAATCTACAAATAACATGCTGGGAATTCGGCAGGCACTGTTATTATATCCTGTTTACACTGTCATTTCTCCTATCAGCAGGATATTATTTATACAGACCCCACCCCTGCACTTCTTGTTTATCTTATTATAGAAGCCCTCCAGATCTATAAAAAGCAGCCTCTGCATTTACTTCTGGAACAGCACATGTGTTGGAATTTTGCACCTTGCTATACTTTTTTATTTAGCATTTTCTGTTGTTAGGCACCATCCGCTCTGATTTTATCTTAAGGTTGATTCCACATATTAGAGTTGAACTCAAATGACTTTCAGAGAATCTGCTATAGAACAACAAAAAAGCATGTCTAGGTAATGGCCAGATATTCCAGGGATGGGAAGGCTTCCTAAACCAGGCTCACCCTCCCGAGTGGGTCAGTCATAAGGGCTTCACTAACTCATTGTTCTTCCCAGACATGAGAGTGCTGTTTCTGTTAGCTTCCTGGCTGGACAGGCAGGGACACAAATGTGATTAATTCATAATACATGAGAAGCACAACTCAGTGAGTTAGCCAATAGATAAAAAGTAGATTAGCCTGCTTATTAATTTCCTCATTTTCCTGTTTTGTAGATTAAAACAAAATAGCAAAAAAAAAAAAAAAAGTCCTGCAACTTTCTTACCCACAAAAATGTATAGGACTGTTGAGCAAGCAATCATCCCTGAAACAGTGCCTCAGTGTACCTTTTGACATGTGGTTTGAGCTAAACACACCCAGCTCCTTTGTGCTTCAGCTAGATCTATCAGATGGCAAGGTAGGTGTGAAATGTTCCAGGTAAAAGGGCAGTGACAGACCCTCTGAAGAAACTGCATCACTTAGGTGAGGATTAAACCAATGTCAGAATATCAGAATGCCACCCTAACAGAATGAGGTGCGGTTAGTAGGAACGGATAGAGTTATGCTGGGGAGGTAAAGGCCTTTTAGTAAACCAAGAATTTGGTAGCATGGAAATGAGCAGGATTCTCAAAACTACAAGTTGTTAAATTCAGCTGTGTGAATATACATAATAGAAGACGGCAATAAAAATGGATGCATTTTAAGAATTATAACGCATTATAAGAATTTCCTGGACTGGCAGAATGGCTCGGTGGATAAAGGTACTTGCTGCCAAGGCTTATGACCTGAGTTCAATCCCTGTAACACACGATAGAAGAAAAATGAAACTCTTACCCCAACACATACACTGTGACACTCATGCAGGAACACACACAAAAATAAATGCTTTTGTGTTTTTTTGTTTTTTTTTTTTTAATTTCTTGTTTTAGACAATGAAGAGCCAAAGGTAGGTTCACAGAAATGTAAACCCAATCCTTTGGAACAAAAACAAAGAGGGAAACCTCTTTGAGGTGAAGCTGAAATGGGGAAGACATTTTTAACAACATCCCATCATTACGGTGGTGAAAGAAAGGCCATGTGTACAACAGGTAACAAATGTCTAAGTGTATCTCAGCTCCTCCTTTCCCAAACGGGGGATGGTATTACTGAATGAGGCAATGATAATCAATGCCTACCAACTGGTACTCATGTTTGCAAAGTTTTCCAGTTTCCTAGAACAGTCCTTCTCCAATCTAAATCACTTAGGGGATCTGGCTGAAATGTAAATTCTACTTCAGCAGAGGTGCCATCATGTATTCCTACATCTCTAACAAGTTTTCAGCTAATGCCAAAACTGCTATTTCCTGGACTGTATTTTGAATAGCAAGATGTAAAACATCTTTCAGTTTCCCTTTCTAAAATGGAAATATTTGATATACTGTGTTTAACTCATTATGAAACAATGCTTTTAGATATGCCACCCTATCTGGCATAAGGAAGACCTTTATAGGTATCTTTTTATGATTTGCAACAATGTTGGACACTCATCCAAAGCCACTATTTTACAAGTCTAAGACAAGGGCTGGCTCAGAGGGTAAGGGAATTTGTCATAAAGCCTGGCAAGGTGAGTTTGATCCCAGGATTCACATAGTAGAAGGAGAGAACTGATTTACTCAAGCTGTCTTCTGTCCTACACACACTCATGCCTAAGATGATTCAAGATTCAGTATATTCAGTACTCAGAAATATTCTCTTCTGAACAAAAACAACCTTGCGATTCTATCATGTTACAAATTCGTCTTGCTCCCCTCCCCCCCGGCCCCACATGCACCCAGGTTTGCAACTAGGACATATATTGCTTATAGTCCTAGACTAGAGGATAAAGTAAAGGTACAAAAAGACAAGATCCCCATCATGGCATAAACTACCACATCACGAGTTTCAGTAACACCCGCACGACTTGCCCTCATAGTGTGTTAAGCACTATAACTTAGTTTAAGATAAAGATTAATAATTTATCTTACACATCCCACTGGCAAATACCGAAAGACTTTTTTTTTTTTTGGTTTTTCGAGACAGGGTTTCTCTGTACCTAAAGACTTAAATAATTAAATTCACACACCTTTCTTTACCATTAAGACTTCTATATAGAGGACATGTTTAAAAGTCTTTTTACCAGTAACAAAGACATTGTTTATAAAAGAATATTACTGGTAAAATATATACACTTGCATGTATGCATAAATATAAAGGGTTGGCTGACATAGGTACAGGGAATGAAATACTTTTAACTCTGAAGTTACATTTTTAAATCAATTACTAAGCAGGAACAACCTCTTAAGAATATTTACTTCAGTATGTACCAGCGTTTCCACCACAGAAGAAACATCTGGAGGAGCTCAGATGCCAACCTGTAACCACAAAGTATGAAAACTGAGGCAAGGGCTTAAGATGCCCCAAGGCATAAGTTTGCAACTGTGAGCAAAAAGGAGTGGTGATGGTATTACTTGCACTGTCAGTGCAGAAAGTATAATAACACAGCAAATGTAAATGTATTAGAAGAACTTCTGGTTCCTCTAGGACTTTATAACTAAGGACGGGCACACATGAACAGTGATGGCATACCTACACCCAGATTCAAGAGTTCCAAAATGATACATATATACCACATGTCAGGGTGAGGTCTGGGTCGGGTGGAGAATGGGATGGGATAGAAACAACAACAAAAAGACAATGGTGACCCTCATCTTCTTAAGAGGGGTGTGAGGAAAGTTTTCACATACAGAAAAGGTCATTCAAAAGACAGTTTTCAGTAGGGGATGGGGAGGTTCATATATCCCAGCCGCAAGAGGTCATTATTAGCCACAGAGTGAGTTTGAGGCCGGCCTCAACTGCATGCATGCCACCCTGTCTCAAGAAAAGACAAAAAACAACAAACAACAACAAAACCAAAGTCCCAACAACAAACCCCCAAAACAAAAAAGGAAAACAAAGACTTGCGTTTTCCTCATGAGTCACTTTTTACTTTGATAAAGTCCTAGATTTAATTGAGGGGACTGCAAAGCTTTTAAAAATAAAGACACAGACAGCAGCTGGTGTGCATGTGTCACAGGCGCTATCATAATCAAGAGGAAACGACATCCCTGTTTCAATTATAAAATAGGGATTTTTTTTCTTATTATTGACGTTACAAAATTTACTAACATAAGTTTTAAAAAGAAAAATGACTGGAGCATGTCCGTGCTATCAGAGACACTGGTTTAAATCCCAGGCTCCCGTCACCATGCCCAAGCCGAGAGGGCTGCAGCATGGAAATGTAAGCGATAGTCCAACACCTGCACAGACGGCAGAGACGAGACATGATTCTAGAATAAAGGGCTCTCCGGCTCTTACCTGTTACCTGTGCAACAACTGCTTGGGAAATCCTCCGATTGGCAAGAAAGGCTTTGATTTCCTCTTTTATCACACTGCTGTCCCTCCTAACAAAAACAGAAGACAAGACCAACAATGTATGTTGAAGGTAGAAATCCTCATCTTTGCTAAAAGAAAGGTGAAGCAGAGAGGTGGGGAGAACACAGAAAGGAAGGACACAAAAATAAAAGGGGAACAGACTAAACTTAGGTGAAAATATGAAATTACAACAAACCAAGAAACACCAAATACTCCAGTCCTGAAACATCACACCATCAGACAGACACCTCAGTGAATGCCACTGTGGATACAAGTCTCATGTGGGAGGACCATTAATTGCATGCTGTGTATGATCTAAATTAGGAATACGGTTACCATATGCAGTATGTATGGTCTCAATATGGGGGAATAAATCATACATAGAAGTCCTGGAAAAATAAAAAGCAGCAGCATTGAAAATCAGCTGGAAGTAGATTGTGGGTTTGCAGGTTAATGGAGGACCTGCAGAAGTGACACTCATCTTAAAATCTTGGAAATACTTAAGGGGCAGAAATAAACAACATTTAGCATTGTAAGAAACACCCTTAGCTGCTTCCTCTCCCTCCCTTCTGCATAAGTTCTTCCCCAAAGATTGTGGGATGATTTGAAATAGTAACAGTTTCATATGAAAAGTAATTATTAATTTCATATTACATGTAAAAAATACACAAAATAGTTAATACTAAAAACTATACTATTCAACCTTGGTAGAATATACTCTTGGTCCACTACAAACTATTTAGAAAGTCAGCATGCATTCATAGACCAGACATCCATAAGAATAACAAAGAACAACTCATTCTTTCACCAAAACAAACAATAAATAAAAATTAAATCGGAGCCTAAAGACTATAAAACCAGAACACTGTTTCTTGTTCAAGATGAAAACTGACAGAATCATGGTAGCTTATCTAAACAAGGTCAGCAGATTGAGGAACTCGGCTCAAGTCCGTCTGCTGCCATCTGCCCTCATATAAATCACAAACTAATAATCTTTCTCAGATGGACCTTTGCAAATAATTTTTTTAAAAAAATCATTCTTCCTTTTATTTTTACAAACATTGTATAAACTTCCCATACCGTATACAACTACTACGATTCCATATTAAATTTTTTTTTCATTTTTTGATGCAGGGACTCAATCTCTCTCTCTGTCTGTCTCTCTGTCTCTGTCTCTGTCTCTCTCGTTTCTCAGTGTAGCCTTGGCTGTACTGGAACTCGCTCTACAGACCAGGCTGGCTTTGAACTATTCTCCTACCTCTGCCTCCTGTGTGCCGGCATTAAATGCATGCACCATTGCCTGACTGGAACTCACTCACTAAGCGAACCTGAAACTATTCAGTCCAGGTGGTGCTCAAACACAAGGCAATCCTCCCATCTCAGTCTCCTGGTGTTAAGAGTACAAGCTCCATGTTGGATTTTGTCAAGAAAGGCTGTGGCCATTTCTCTCTCCTTCTCTCTCTCATTTTTAGTTTCCTGAGACACGGTCTATTAGCACATCATGCTGGCCTTGAATTTACAGATCACCTAGTCTCAGCTTCCTGAGTGTTAGGTGTGTAGCTGTGTGCTACCATTCCCAGCTTTCTCTCTTGTATAGTGTGTCTATACCATACCGCTGATTTTGCCTCTTGGCAAAGTCTAAAACGTTAACCACTAGCTATTCACAATAAAACCTTTGACCCTTGATCTAAGACAGACATCACAAACTTTTAAAAACTCAAAAACTATTTTGTGAACAAACCACAAATTTCATAGGGCTCAAGTCTCACTGCAGATTGAGTAGAAAAAGAAGTATCCTATCAGAACATGATACCATTCTGCAATTTCAAGTAGCTAGGTCTTTCAGTCCCTCACCTGGAAGTGCTATGCCCTCTGTTGGGGGTGCCATGCTCCCTGTGGAGCTGTACTCACCATAGCCTGCACACGTGTGAGTCTCTGCTTCTCTCTGAGCCCAGAGCTCAGAGCTCACTAGTTTGCTTAACTGGCTGGCCAATGAGCTGCAGGGATCCCCTCAGGGCTAAAGGCACAGGCCACCACTGCCTGATTTTTTTGTTTTTTATGTGGGTGCTGAAGACATGAACTTAGTTCCTCATTTCTGTGCAGCAGGCACAGCACTATCTGGGCCATGTCCCTGCTTTGGGATATTTTGAAAAAAGAGTAGAGATGGGATATTGAGTATCCAATATGTAGCTCTATAACATCCCTGAGTTACTGATTGGAAATCACAGTCAAGCGGTAACAAGAAAACAAAAATTTAGCTGCCTAATGTAATATTTAAAATTTCACAAAATTATTTAGATTCCAATCTACATGCTGACTACATTTCTTTCAAAATGCCTGTCTCTGGACTCTGGACCAATTATGAGCAAGAGACGACTTTTAGCAGTAGCTATTTCAGACGGCTCTTGTACACAAACCAAATAATTTGTCTTCTGACATAACTACAAAATTAAGTTGAATTTTTTTATATAAACTATTGCATTTCAACATACCAAATGATCTTGGAAAATGAAACTATATTTGAGAATAATTGTTTAGATTAAATTTAAAAATGTACTTTTATAGGCAAAATGAGCAAATGGTATTTTCTTGACTAATAATTTAAAATCAAATTTAAACCAACTCATTTTAAATCAAATGCACCTAGAGCAGACACTAAATCATAGAGAACAGATAAACCCAACTATGTAAGCAGCCTAAATTACTCACAGCCTTGCAGCGTGGCAATAAGGACTGCAGCAAGACAGGAGGAGTCCCCAGTGTTCAGAGAGCAGCAACCCACTCGCCACCTCCAAGAATCCATTCTTATATGTTATGCAGGTTTCTAAAGTATTCACAGTAAGTTTAAACAGACATTCTTCACTGCTTTACCATAGATACTTTTTGAAAAACAATTAAAAAAAAGATTGGGGTGTGGCTAAAAGCCTAAATGCCTAACTAGCATCATAAGACCCACCCTGGTCTCAATCTCCAGCCCCCCCACTTCTTAAAAGACAAAAACATTAGAAGGAAAGCCACTTAATAAGGTTGGGCTCTAGCTTTACCCTTTGTGAAAACAAGAACATTAACACACTCATCCCAAAGATTTGCATTTCTATAGTGTATATTAATTGTGCAAAATAATGGGTCTCACTATGGCATTTTCACACATGTGTATAATGCACTTTGATCCAGTTCCTTGGCTGCCATGCCCCCATCCTCATCCCTTCTTCACTCTCACTGGTTCCCTTCCTCTCCCCTTCTCAACTCCAGCTGGTCCTTTCCCTCTCCTCTCCTCCATTCCTGTTGGATTTTCAGAGGTCATGGATATAGCCTGTGGCAGTACGCGTCCCCAGCATGTACAAAAGACCCTGTGTTCAATCTCTAACATTGGGGGTGGAGGAGCCTTTAAAATGTTCTTCCAAGAAATGACATAAAAAACTGAATGATAGGGGCTGGAGAGATGGCTCAGTGGTTAAGAGCATTGCCTGTCCTTCCAAAGGTCCTGAGTTCAATTCCCGGCAACCACATGGTGGCTCACAACCATCTGTAATGAGGTCTGGTGCCCTCTTCTGGCCTGCAGAGACACACACAGACAGAGTATTGTATACATAATAAATAAATAAATATTTTTAAAAAACTGAATGATATAAATACAATATATCATTCATATATACACATACATGCATATATGTGCAAAGGAACTCTCTTTGAGGTAGAAAGTTCTGAAATTGTAAATGTACCAGATAAACACAAACTATTATTTCTATAAAACAGTCAGACAGGATCCACAGAAAAGAAGAACCAAATGGTCAACTGTAGCTGTCAGACTGAAGTTAACATCTCAGACCAGGTGCCTCAAAGCACCATGGACAAAGTGCTCTAAAGTCACTTTAGAAGAACGCCTGTTTGCTGGGTTCGCTAGGTATTTGCAAAAACAGTAACATTGCTTGCCTTCACTGTCCAGTTCATTCTACTGGGTTGGCTTGGCTCTTTGTCTTCTTTGCCCGCTTCTGTAACTGCCATTCTACCTTGCGGAATCACTTATTTGCTAGCGTGAAAGATCACTTACACAGACTTCTCTCTCTCTCTCTCTCTCTCTCTCTCTCTCTCTGTCTCTCTCTCTCTCTGTCTGTCTGTCTGTCTGTCTTCTATTCCGTATTTCCTCCCGTTGTTGGCAGTCTGATATGTTGCCAAAAGAAAGTATGAATCCTTTCTCCCACCGCACCAAGTATCTCACATACCTCAAGGCTGTCCACTCCTGGAGTCTTAGTGAATTAAAGAACAAGCCAGTTATTTCTCTGGTTTCACTTTTTACTTCCAACATAAGCAAGCACTTGGTCTCAGCTGAGGCACCTGAAGTGCACGCCACATCTTCCTGCTGCTGTTCTCAAACCGCTGCACTGTTCATCCGGTGGACTTCTCAGCAGGACGAGAACCACCACTGCCTTCCTTTTAAACTAGTTAACATCACCATTAACCCTTTCTAATATATATGTAAGATTTCATCAGGAATGCCTTTTTGACAAAACACTTTCCAAAATTTTATATGTGTCTGTATCTGAGACTAGGAGTATGGGGCAGGGGTCTAACCCAGGATCACTTTGAAAAAGAGGTTTTGCTGCCTACGCCTCTAGAGTTCTGGGATCTAGTGGCATCACCACCCTGTCCTGATTCTAATGCTCCTTACTTTGTTTTGTTTTGAGCATGGTCTTACTACAGAGCCGAGGCTGCTTTTGAATTCCCAGCAAGCCTCCTGCCTCTACCTCCTAAGTACTCATATTCCAGAGGGCTACTGACACATCTGGCTTTCAGAGTAAGAAGATATGATGTAACTGACATCTATCTAGGTAAGTTCTCTCTGATCATCATAGCTTACAAAGAAAGATCTCTGAACAAAGCTATCACTTAACAATTATAGTATGGACACAATGCTATTCTATAGCCCATCTATCCTACTAGCCTGGAAAGTTCTTTAGTACAAAGATTCTGTCATAGTCAGCATGGATTTTTCATATAATAAAACTTAATTTGTTCAATGAGTGAAAATTTTCTAGAGATTAAAGGCTGTAAAATGGAAACCCTGATCTAAATAATTTATACAACAGCTTTAAATTCTTATTTTCAAGTACATTTATGTTTTCCAAATCAGGATGGAGAGGTTATTTATGGTGATTCAAAATGACACTGATTTGTTTTCTGGAAGAAAGCATATTAAAGGGCTCATATTTTAAAAATAATATGCTTTAGGATGACTCATACTCCGAGTTAACACACCCTCAGCATTCTTCTGGACGTTATAAAGGGAGCTAGCTCAAAGTCACCCCAAGATGAAGCCGACACAGTGTATTTCACAGTTGAAAGACACTCACGACTTTCTCCCTGTGCAGATACAAAGCACAATTTTAAGAGAGAACATTACAGGGAGAGCTGTTCTATATGCAGAAGATGGAGGGAGAGTGCACCACCACTCAGTGGTGTCACCTTCCTACAGAGCATGAGCATCCTGCCTGCACGAGTAAGTACAGGCTGAGCGCCCCCACTGAAGCACGCAGGACCAGAAGCCTTTCCAGATTTTCTCTTTTAAACCTGGGACTATTTTCATATTTATAATGAATATCTTAGGGGCAGAGCCCAAGTATAAATACAAAATTCAACTATGTTTTACATAATTATATAGAGAAACTAAATGTAACTTGAGATATAGTATTTTAAAAAACTCTGTGTCTAGGAATGTGTTCTATTATTTTTCACTTGTGAACCAGAGTGCTCAGAAGCTTTGAATTTTAAAACACCATGGCTCAAGGATGCTCGGCCCATGTTTTAGTGTCAACGATATACATAGCCAAGTTCGTATGAACCTGCAGAATTTTGTACAAAATACTAACAAAATGAGGTATATAATGGTATAGAGCAACATGCTTAACATATAACATTACTAATTCCAATAAGCCTCATTTACATTATCTCATAATGCATACATGACTGCAGGAAAACACTGCTATATTCTATTAGTGGATGTAGCCATACATTCTTATGTATATACTTACATACTAATGGGCCTCTTAAGATGTCCTAATGTAAAATGAGTTGGCTTTCACTGTTGACACATGCAACCATTTACCGAGAATTTACATGCTAGTGTGGCTTTTCTTCTTCATTTTTTCATCTCAATTCAAAATTAGCAAAGAAAATGTCTGACTCTTGAACAAATGATCAAGGGTACAGTTATAACCTGATGAAGCTACACACACACACACACACACACACACACACACACACAAAATCTCCATTATATACTTTCAAATTATATGCTGTAATATAGATTCACTGAATTAACAAAATCTGCAAAGCATGTCTTAGGGTGGAGTACCTGCAGGCTGGGGCTGTGGGCAAGTAGGGGGTGGATTTTTCACACAGCACAGGAGGCAGGAAGGCCCTCAGGTGTCCATCCTTCCTACTAGAGCCCACCAATTCCAGGTCACTGTCATGTCAGTGTTTAGCAAACAGGAAGGACAGTGTATCACTAGACAGACACAGAATACCCAGAAAGAGCTATGGTTTGAAAATTTCTCTAAGATCTCACCAATAAGAATTATTATTTACAGTAAGTGACTGATCTGAAGTAGAAGATAACATGTCGGGGAAGGAGCAGGGCAAGCCCAGAAAGGCCATTCACATTGTTTAGAAAAATTATAATTATTGCTTTTCCTAAAGCGTCATGTAGTCTATAGGCATAAATAATGTCAGTGATAAAAATATACGAGCAACAAAATAATAATAAAGACATGGGATATAATTTAGGCTCAGTTACCCAATAATCAAACTTTCCTGAGCAGATTATTAATTTTCATGAATTCAGGTTCTCTGATCAAGCACCCAGCATGGCTGTTGGGACTGCAAACATCATGTGAGCAGCCAGTCAGTCAACTTTTCCCTGAGTCCTAAGAAGGACTTGAGCAAACTTGAGAACAGTGAGAAAGGGTACACCTGAGTAGAGCTGGGGTGGGGGAAGCTCAATTGTGGAGGACAGGGAGGGGACCAGAGGTCTAGAGGGCCCTAGGCACCTAAACGTCAGAGGAGCTGTTCTGAGCAAGAAGCAAAGGAAGGGAAGAAGAAAGCATCCTAATAACTACACAATTAAGAGCACACAGATGAAACACGCGTTATTCCCATGAGACTGTACCCAAGTGAACATGCAGAAACAGAACAGGCTAGCACCTGAACAAATAAATGCTATTTTACTATCTTCTCTACGTGGGATAATTAAAATCTCATGAAACTTCAGTGAATAAAGTAATTAATTTGCCCAAATGGTTCTCCTTTCGAAATAATGACAGATGCTAAATTCCTAAAACCATCTAGGGCCAAGGCTGTGAACTCAGTGGAAGATAAAGCCCTGGGTTCAATCTTGAGCACTAAGAAAGTCACCAGCAACAGCAGAGCCTTGGGCACCTGTGTCAAGAGTTGAAGAGGAACCAAAAGCCTCGTTGATCTCTTGTATTTCAGAGTACTAGAAGCTTGCTAAAACTGACTGTCGATGAGGTATGACATTCTTCATTACATGTACCTCACCGTCCCTGCAGCCAAGGATTCTATGTGTCGCAACTCTACCCTGAAAACAATCTCAGTAGAGGCCATGTGCCAAAGGCTGTCTCCTCACTGAGGTGCACAGGATGGATCTCCACACTGCACAGTCAAGCCACCGTCATTCTGTCCTGATGGCAGAAAATCTTCAGGACTAGTTAAAACTCAGTTACAACTTTTGTTTTTACTTCTGACAAGTCTACAGTTCTGTTCATTATCAACTACAACTAATTTATCCGCAGCCTCTCGCCTTTTATGTTTAATTTTAGATTATTTTAGGCGTATGAGTGTTTTGCTCGCACGCAAAGGTCAGAAAGTTTCGTAGCTCCTATGAGAGTTATAGATGGTGGTGCTACGGGACCAAACTCGGCTTCTCTGCAAGACCAGGTGCTCTTAACCAAGGAGTTCATCTCTCCAGCACAAAGCAATCATTTTTACACAGCAACCTAAATATTCTGAAAAACTGCTTTTGGCATTTCTGTTTGTAAAAACTCGCTAATTTTAACCACTTAGTGTAGAATGTGAAGCCTCTGAAAACGTGTGCTGCACCCTGAGGCATCACTACATTTGCCAAAGTCTGCCTCATCTGTACTGCTTTTCTTTTGATGCTTATTGGAAAGAAAGATCAATGCTCTGTAGGCAAGACAGGCCTGGAAGTTACCACGCTAGCCTTGAACTCAAGCAATCTTCCTGCCTTGGCCCTCCAAATGTTGGAGTTACAGGCATAAGTGACCATATCCAGCTTATATTCTTAACCAGGTTGAAGATATGCCTTTTTTGGTTCATTAACAAGGAAAAATTAAAAAAAAAATAAATTAAAAATATGTATATTTTTATTTTAAAATTTATTTTAAATTTTTTGTTTATTCTATTTTAAAAAATTAAAAATTACTCACTTACTGACTGTATGTGTATGTACAAGATTACACTATGTCATGGCATGCTTGTAGTAAGCGGACAACTTTCGGGAGTTGGTTCTTTCCTCCAACTGTATGGGTTCTAGGGATGGAACTCAAGTCTTCTGGCTTGGCACCAAACACCTTTATCCCCTGAACTAGCTCCATATCCTTATTTAGCCTTATGGTTTAGGCTAAATTTATCTACTCAGCTAACATACCGAGCCCACACCATGGGCTTCAGGAAGTTCCTAGTTCTGGACATAGGATAGAAAACACATGTGTGCTACAAAGTCCAAATTACTTCAGCTTCACTGAGTGTGTGTGTGTGTGTGTGTGTGTGTGTGTGTGTGTGTGTGTGTAGTGTGTGTGTGTGTGTTTAAACTCCAAGTGCACATGCTAACTTGGCAACTGATGAGGTATGGAGTACATGTGGGTGTTGCATCTACTACTAAAATTAGAACTTCAGACTTTTAGGGGCAGGACAGTATCTATGCTTCTTACTGAAAATTACTTCTGACCCAACAGTTGTTCAAATGGTTGCACTGATAGAAATGATGCAAAGAAACATGAGGAGTGCATGTATTCTACATCATGGTAAATCTATCTTACCACTCAGAAAAATATTTACAATGAAGGAATAAGGACTGAATTAAATAACTATCAGTCAGAAACTATCTGCTAACACCATACATAGAGAAAGCCCTGGGACAATCAAGAAACCAGAAAAGCCTCATCATGTGGCAAAAGGGCTGAAGTAGAGAAGAAAAAAAAAGTTTGATCTAAAACCACAATTTCAAGTTTTACTTTCATTTCCAAAGAAGGGAGGGAGAAACCATTGTTCTTATTGGTAAGTTTTTGAAATACAAGCTATTATTTAAAAACAATCTTAAAAACATAGCTCTTTGGGGGAAATTCAGAATAGGCAAAGTAACTAACCTCATTAATTCCTCCACTTTATCATCTACATCTAGGTCCTCTTCTGAGGCTTCAAAGCTATATGACCTCTGACCCATGCTGTTGGCATGGTAGCGAGATGGCGACATCTTCCCATTGGATGTGGACAATCGATCGTTGTTCTCCCTCCCATTTTGATTGGTAGTGCAAGGCTGTGGGGAGGTATCATAACTGTTGCTGGGTGATGGGGACATTCCGGAGTGCTGGGTCTGTGTAGAAGCTGTGGCTGTAGAGGAAGATGCTGGAACATTGTTGGTACTATTCCCATAGGAGCTTCCCCCGTAGCTGGATCTCCTTCCAAACTTATCACTATGCTCTTGATCAAGACGGTCCAAAGTTTCTAATGCATGGAGAATTTCATGTTTGGTCATCCCAGTACGCCGGAGACGTTGGAGCAGATCTATCTGTTCTATGGTAAATCTGGGTTCATCTGTATAGTGAGACATGGTTTCCAGCAAACTGGGGGGAGAAAAGGATAAAAATGAAATGCCTTTATTGTCAACTAACAAAAACATTTCACCATCAAGAATCCTCAGCAGAAGAGGTTTGATCTCAGCAAAGGGAGAGGGAGAGGCTCAGTCAAGTGGCATGCTTGTTGTGTAAGCAGTAGTGACTAAGTTCAGCCTTACGCACCAATGCAAAAGCTGAGAGCAGCAGCACATGACAGTTCTAGCACTGGAGAGGTAGAGATCAGATCTTTGGGGCTTGCTGACCACCAGCCAGTCAAGCTAGTCAATGAGCTGTCGTTTTAGTGAGAGTCCCTGTCTCAAAATAAGGTAGAGAGCAACTGCTGAAGACACCTAATGTCCACTTCTGGCCTCCGCATGCCTTCATACACATATTAATAACACACACACACACACAAACACAACAACAAAGAAAGAAAGAAAAGAAAAAGACATGAGTCCTAATAGACTTTTTTTTGTTGTGGTTTGGATTGGTACAAATTCTGATTTTAGTAGGAATGTATCAGTTATAAAATAAAAACTAATTTATAATGGAATGAAATTGTTTTTCAGTTTTGGTAACCAACCAAAATTTGGAAACAAAACGTTTATTATGTTAAAATGCCAATTCATCACGTAAAGTACGTATAGTTGGTGTGGGAGGTCCTTCTGTATATGTGTTGCTTTTATTAGTTAATGAATAAAGAAGCTGTTTTGGCCAGTGGTTTAGCAGAATAGAGCTAGGCGAGGTTGAGGGGGACAAGGAAGGGGGACAGGACTAAACTGAATGCTGGGAAAAAGAAGGCGGAGTCAAGGAGAACTCATATAGCCCTGCCAGAGACAGACAATGGATGGAAACTTGCCAGTAAGCCACAACCACGTGTCAATACACCAATTAATAGAAATGGGTTAAATTAAGATGAAAGAGATAAGAAATTAGAGCTAATAGGCCAAGCAGTGATTTAATGAATAGAGTTTCTTTGTAATTATTTTGGGGCTAAGCAGCTGGGAACAAACAAGCAGCCTCTTACAACTATAGTGCATCAAGCTTAGACTATGTGGTAATGTAAAGTTTTTTTTTCAATTTCAAAATATATTAATGCATATTAGCATATTAATGGGAAATTGGTGGAAAAGTCTGTGTTATCTTGCTTTTCCAAATATCAGCAAAACTGACAAAGAACTGTTAGGTCATTCAGTGAAAACTGTTTTGCTTGGCTTAGTCTAAGAAAATGCTAGTGACTACACAAATACTGGGTTATACAAATATAACAACACACCAAGCACTGCTTCTATTTCTTAGCTTAGCAGTCTCGTGAGCTTCTCATCTCTGCGACATGCTCTTGAATTGATCCCTCATATGTACAGCCAACTGGAGCTATTCATGTCTTGAAAATTGGTTCTACATGTTTCCACCTAAACTAGCATAAGACACTGTAGAACACTAGAAAATGTTTTCTTAGAGAGAAACTTGGTATTTTAAGACATTAGCTACATCATAAAAACATTCTCTCTTTGAGTTACCTTTTAAATAATAGCTGACTTTTAAAAAGATTTATGTATTTGTCTATTATTCTGTATTGAGTGTCAGTCTGCATGTATGTATGGGCACCCCATGCATGCAGTAATAGGAGCAGCCAGCAGAGGGCAATGAATGTCCTAGAGCTGGAGTTACAAAAAGTTTTGTAAGCTATCATGTAGGGACTGAAAACCAACCCAGGTCTTCTGCAGACATCAAGTGCTCACAACTGCTGACCATCTCTCTGACCCTAAAATCTGATTTTTGAATTCAGTATTTTTGAAAATGATAACCATCTCTATTCTAATCTGTATTTTTCTAGGCACAGATATGATATGTGGCATGGAATAACCTTGGAATAAATAATTACTAAGAGAAACAGAGGTCAAGATTTTTTAAAAATATTTATTTATTTATTATGTATACAATACTCTGTCTGTGTGTATGTCTGAAGGCCAGAAGAGGGCAGCAGACCTCATTACAGATGGTTGTGAGCCACCATGTGGTTGCTGGGACTTGAACTCAGGACCTTTGGAAGAGCAGGCAATGCTCTTAACCGCTGAACCATCTCTCCAGCCCTCAAGACATTTTCTTATCTATTAAAGACAAATGTACTCTAGACAGTCCCCTAAGCCTTGTGGAGAGCTAACTATTTCTTCAACCCCTGGACAATACTGTAGAAAAATCCAATTGAATTAAGAAATTGGGCAGGAATTTCATACAGTATAAACTCACGTAATCCTCACAGCAAGTCTCTGTGGTAGACACGACTTATTTGTTTTAATGTTACAGTATGAATTGTTAAGGAAACCGGGGCTTAGGATACCTTTGTACCTTTCAGAAAGTCTCAGGCCAGCCTGGTGGCACAAAGATAACAACTTTCACAGCCCACGTGGGCAGCAGACTAAGTTCAAGGCCATCCTGTAACTTAGTGAGACCTATCTTAAAATAAAACTCAAGCACTCTTTAAGAGCAGTCTTCACTCTGAGCCACAGAGCTATCTCTCTGGCTCCATTTTTTTTTTTTTAAAAAATAGTTGCCAAATCAAAATAATTTACCCCTGAATTTACTGGCTTGGCAAATTCTAGTTTCCCCTCATAATTACTTTTTCATCTTCATAGGTACTTTCCCTTTAAAATAAAAGCTCTGTTTTGGTATCTTCAGTCTTCATCTAATCAAAGTATTTCACAAACTGTTCTTCCCTTAGATGTCTAACTTTAAGAACTATTTTATCTAGATGCAGGAAAGTTAACCATATTTTCCTATCCTATTCAGTCAGTGTAGATCACAAGTCATGTGCAGTTCTTCAAGCCTCCTTCTATATGACACAACACTATCTATGAGCAAAGAATTCACAGTATCTGAAATACTTTACACCATTTAGGATCCATTAACAAGAGAAAACCACTTTTATTCTGATATCATCCATCATAAGAGGAGCAATAAGGCCCACCTATTACCTTGATTACCCAGAACACCTAATCATTCCTAAGCACATGCTCTTGGGTCAGCTCTTCACAGAAATCAACTTCTGGTGAACAGACAATCACAGTAATAGAAACTGGGCTCTCTTCAAAACAGTCTACTTAGACTACGGTAAGCTGGACAGTTAGTGTAAGTGTGCTAAGTCATAGGAATACTTTCGCGAAGCAGGAGCTGAAGGAAGAATAAAGCAGATAACCAAAAAATGCAGAGAACAAGGGAAAAACCCCGCAGCATCCTATTGTTGCCCTGTAATTATTAAGCTTCTTACAATTCTGCTCTTCTTTCATTTGGTGAAACAATCAACTTCCCTTTACACTTCACTGTGTTTAAATGGATATCTATAATTTGTACCAAGAACAGCCCCAACTGCCAAGGGAGCTAATGCAGAGGTCACAGTTGCCAGGATCCAAAGAGTGACTTAGGAGGACAACAGCATCCTGAGTAGGAACACATCACGCACATAACAAGAAAACACAAGCACACACAAATGATTAGAAGTTCTTGTGGACACTGAGAATAAGATGCCAATGCACATCAATACATATGACGGGATATACTATGTCATATTCCACTTGTACTTCTCATAATTTACCTAGTGTAAGCAGTTTCATAAAATAACAGCAGCAAATGACCTTTAAAGGTCATCTAGGACCAGAATGCCAGTGATCCTCACATGACAAAAGATGACATTGAGGAGTTAAATTACTTTTCTGATGCACAAAGATCACTTACAGGATAAAGGGCAGTTTTGCTTTAAATTACTAATTTGAATGTAGGCTCCAGCTAACACTAACTGAAAATAATTTAAGAATTTTGACACTCAAATAGGATAGACAAAGATTAAACTTGAAAAGAACAATTCAGTTCAAGACTTAAAGCTCAGTTCCTAAACTGAAACTGTACATCTTGAGATATTTAGACCATATTTTGCAATAATACCTAAAGCCTTTCTAGACAAGCCACAGGCTAGGGATATACTTTAGAAGTGATATTCCAAAGACAGACAACAGAAGAGTTTAGCTAAAGCATTAAGAAACGATTAATTAGCACTGAAATCACAGGGGCAAAAATGACAAGAATTGCAAAGCATCAATAGTTAACTTTTAGACAAAGTTTTCTCTCAGATCATTTCTGCTGATTTTTTTGTTGTTGCTATTAGTTTTTTTGTTTTTTGAGACAAGGTTTCTCTGTAGCTTATGGAGCCTGTCCTGGAAACTAGCCCTTGTAGACCAGGCTGGCCTCGAATTCACAGAGATCCGCCTGCCTCTGCCTCTCGAGTGCTGGGATTAAAGGCGGGCACCACCACCGCCCGGCCATTTCTGCTGTTTTTATCTTGTCCAGAATGACTAGGCAGAACCCATTTTGCTTTATATGGTCACTGTAGGATGATTCAGACATTCCAGGCCCTACTTACTATTTATATACATTGCTCCCTCTCTTCATTATTACCTCTATCAAATATGTGGCTTCAAGAAAGAAAATGACATGTAAGAGTAAGTAAGAAATAATGTTTTACAGTGAACTGAGCCTCATGGCAGTGCAAAATGATTCTTTAGTTCAGATTATTAGGTAAACCGACTAAAGCCTAAGAACAGCCTATGGCTATAGACCACCTGTAAATGTCCCTTTCATAATAAAAAGATTTTGTGAAATGTATAATTATATTCCATTCCAGTGTGTCAATCAAGCTTAGTGTTCTTTTAAATTAGCACCGATTGAGTTCCATTTTGTGCATTTTGGAGGATAATCTGTTATGCAGCTTTAAAACGATTGCAAACACTGCCATATATAACAAATACATTTATAAGATACAGCAGAGAGATGTCCATCATCTGAGGATGCAGCTCATGAAGCTCCTCCTTTTACTCTTGGATGGTAAAGTATTTTGCTGTTTTGACATGTCTGAGACAGAGTCTTGCTATGTAGCTCAGGCTGGACTTGAACACACGCTCCTTCAGCCTTTGTGTCCCAAGTACTGAGCGTACAGGCCAGAGAATATTAATTCTCATCAGAGTCCTGTACATGAGAATCTGGAGTCAACACCCATCCACTTGAGAACTCTCCCTTCTTTTAGAAATGTCACATTACAGCTCCCCAGACCCTGTAGAAAGTTGCTGACTAGAACTACTAGCCTTCAAAACATTTAAGTTTGACAACTGGAAAGCTTTGCAACTTCACCTGCTGCTATCAGCACTGCCCTCCAGCAGCAAGTGCTGAAAAAGAAACAAAAGAACACAAATGAAAAAATCCCACAGGAAAAAAAATTCTTATTGCTGCTTTCATTTGTCAATACATTCCTTAATTTTGCTTTCTAATTTAATTGAATGAATTCTTTTAAAAATTGTGACAATAATGTGTATACAATGCGCTGGCTACTGCATTCATGTCACAGAAGGGAGCATTCCCACTGCACTCCTCTGTCCTGTGAGTCCCACAGTCCTTCTGCTTCCTCTCTTCAACGTTCTGGGCCTTGCAAGGCCTTGGACGGGATGGCACAGATGTTCTGTTTGGGGCTAAGCATTCAGCAGTCAATCAAGGTGACCTCCATGTGTCCTCTTCGTGATCTTGCAGATCTCTAGGGCGAGTATCAACAGACGCTGTCACTCCCCTAAAGGTACACCTGGGTCGTAGGCTTTACTTCCCATAGAAACCAGTACTGCACTAACTGAACACCTAAGCTTCAAAAATTTAGGAACTCACTGTGTGGTTAAGATGTACCAAAACTGTACATTAAGTACAGTCCTCTGAGGTTTGTTCATGTTACTGACCCACTCCTCAGAAACTGTAGGAGGCTGAGGCAGGAAGACTAGGAGTTCAGGGTTATCCTTGGCATGTAGCAAGTTTTGAGGGTTGTCTGGGCTACACAAGACCCTGTCTCAAAACACAAAATAGGGTCAGACAATAGTGACTGCCTTTAATCCCAGCACTAGGGAGGCAGAGGCAGGCGGATCTCTGAGTTTGAGGCCAGCCTGGTCTACAAGAACTAGTTCCAGGACAGCTAGGACACAGAGAAAGAGAAACCCTGTCTTGAAACCCGCCCCCCCCACCCCAAAAAAAGAACTGTGAACCAAGCAGAGGCTTTTCTTTGTGTGCCAATGAATTGTGTGATTTGTGAACCTATATTTTGATCATCTCTTTATTTTCATTTGATGTCAAAGAACCAGATGTGGTGGTATACATCTACAATCCCAGCACTCAGGAGGACGACCGAATTTTTTTTTTTGTTGAGTTTAAGGTCAATCTGAGGCATACAGCAAGTTCCGGGCTATTTTAAACATAGTGAGACTCCAGTCTCCAAAAACAAGGGTGGGGAAGAAAAAGAAAAGGAACAGAAAAAGACAAAGAAAGCAGCAGGCAGGCAAGGGTGGGTGGGGAGGGCAAAGCCCCAAAGATAAAGCGCCTTTTCCTAGGGCACAGCTACTCAGCAGAAACTCAGGCGACAGTTCTGTCATCTGGATCTCCTCCAGAGACTTTGCACTAAATCACAGAATCAATGTATGTGTGTGCTGGGGGGTGGAGGGGGCTTCAAAGAGAAACCTAAGTAATAAAGAAAACCAATCTTAATGTCTACTTATTAGATTGTAGAACTGTCAACCAAAATAGAAGAAATTTAAGTGAAACAGACTCCACCAAACTTTAGAAATTACTTGGGCTCAAGGCACTCTGCACTAAACGCTGAAGATGCGCTTAATGAGCTAATAGGCCCTTTATCTTCTCTAATTTCTGAGGTTCCCGGAATACTTTTATTCTGAGGCCTATTTTATATGAACTGGTGGTTACAGTTCATATTCCAGCACAAAAACATTCTTGACACAACACCACTATCTCCATTTGTATCTCTTTGTCTTGACTCCATTAGCTAAGAGACAGAACTACGTTACCATCTGCAGTAGGGAAAAAGAAATGGCTACAGTGTCCTCAGGAGTTTGCACGCAAATCAAGCATTAAGAGAGCATGCTTTTTATATTCTGCTTATTCCTAAGAATGCAACTGGAGCTTCTGCCAACACGTAACCACCTACCTCACCAGCTTCTAGGCTATTAAACAGTTAAAAATAATGGCGGTGCCAGAGAGGAGGCCCAGCAGTTAAGTGCACTTACTGTTCTTGTAGAAGACCTGAGCTTGGTCCCTAACACTTACACGGAACAGCTGACAATCACTCGTAACTCCAGTTCTGAAGCCTCTGGCCTCCTTGGGCACTTGCACTCACTAGTGCATGCCCACACATGTACATAATTAAAATAAAATAATTTTTAAGAAAATAATATTAATATGAAAACTTATGTTTAAATGGAAAATAATGTCAAAATACAATGTTCAAAGTAAAAATGGTAAAAAAGAAAGAACAAAAACCTCACAGGTCTGAAACCTCATTCCTCACCATATGATTACACTTGTTTACCTTGATGTCAAAGACATACACCATTTGAATAGTTTCCTAAGAATTTCTTTCACCTTGGGCTGGCAAGATGGCTCAGAGGGTAAAGTACTTGCTGTTAAGCCTGCATTTGATCCCACATGGAAGATAGTACTACTTTCCACCAACCTGTCCTGACCTCCACACACAAGCCAAAGCAATTGAAGGACAGCCCCACGCATAAAGGAATAAATGCCATTTAAACAAATTCTTTGAATTCTGAAAGCATTTGTCATCAGATCTGAGTCACAGTCCCAACCAGCTAACATTAGAGCCGAGAAGGATACTTACACCACTGGGAAGGAACTGAGCATACTTTACATGAGGCGGATCAGTGGCCTTTCCAGAGACGGCTAGCCTTATTTACCATTCTGTGAAATGAAGACAGAAATTGAGAAACAGTTATGTAACTCAGCATTGAATAAAAAGTTTAATTATGCAACTTTGGAGTATTAAGAGTTAATATCTACTAAACTTTTTTTCCAAAATTATTTTGGAATTTTGAATTGGAGCAAAACTTAAAAAACAAAAAACACAGAAAAATGACATTAATAGCTTTCCAAATGATTTCCTTGGGGGGAGAGCAATAAAAAAAAAAATCACCGAATTTAACTTGCTATCGGGAACCACCCACAGAAGTGGATCTAAACTTGCAATGAGATGCACACACTCTAATGGCATTCAACAAACCCTTAACTGGAGAGTAAGCCTTGGCTCTCACCCATGCCAGGGCGGCACTCTCCCTCTGAGCTCCACTCCCCAGCTTCCAGCCGTCTTTTCCATGGTACCAGGCACTTAGGAAGACTTTTTTTCCAAATGGAAGATCTTTTATTTTTTTATTTTATTTTTTTTTTATTTATTTTTTTATAGAACTATATTTTTTTGGGGAAATTTTCTTTCTTTTTTTTAAATTTATTTATTTATTAAAGATTTCTGTCTCTTCCCCGCCACCACCTCCCATTTCCCTCCCCCTCCCCCAATTAAGTCCCCCCCCCCCCCAGCCCGAAAAGCCATCAGGGTTCCCTGTCCTGTGGGAAGTCCAAGGAACCCCCACCTCCATCCAGGTCTAGTAAGTTGAGCATCCAAACTGCCTAGGCTCCCAAAGCCAGTGCGTGCAGTAGGATCAGAAACCCATTGCCATTGTTCTTGTGGATGCAAGGAAGACTCTTATAACACAGCATGCCTCAGCACAGCTTAGCTGCAGGTGGGCTCTGGGGTAGACTGCTAGTGTAATGCTTATCTTGCTGCTAGGTGGACTCAATTTTTCTGAGTCTCAACTATCACAAGTATACTGGAGAATGTTTTCAGTTTTTAAGAGGAAGTGATGAAGCACTTTAGAAGCTAGCACTGGTAGTAGCTATTACTACCAACTTAAAGAGAGATAAATATTCTTCTGACTCAGATGACTAACACAGCACACATGAGTGACAGAGTAAGGCTAGAAAATAAATATTCTGATTCAAATCAATATTCACTGTCTCTCTCTATCTCTCTCCCTCTCTTTTTCCCTCTCCTACATCTATCCATGGTTTAGGAATCAAAGACCAAAGACTAAATTTATAGGCATTTCAAATCTTAATCTGTAGAGGGAAACAACTAATTCCATAAATTGCAAATTAAGATACAAATCAGAAGTCAATTAGTAAAAATGTTGACATGACTCACACTGAAATACCCGAAATACCCATCATCGTTTAATTACTTTAAGCAAGACCCAAGTGTCTACCTATGACTGACGCCCCTGGTGGATGCACAGTAAAGTCAGAAACTCTATGCAGCTACATACTCTAAACTACAGTGTTAATGAAGTTACTGCCATAGCTAACTTTCTTTCTGATTAAAAAACAAATACCTGTCTTTAAAATAAGTGTAAAGTACAAAGAAAATCTACTTTTGGAAATACTGCTGATTGCATTTCTCAGCAAAAGTAACAAAATTTCTTCTTACTTTATATATAAAAATATATACTCCAGGCAGAAAAAGATAATGGTAAATAATAACACAGCAACATATCTAATGACAAAATTTAGAAGATGTTAGACCTTCTACACATTTTAACAAAGGCCAGAAACAGGTCTTCAATAGCTTGCTATAACAAATAATAACAGTGCCCAAACAAAAACCGATCTGATAGCTCTCAGTATTTCTGCCCAGGGGTAAATACTATTGAGTTTTCTGTTGATTTTTTTAACTATATATCTGACAAATTTTCTTTTTTAATTGCAAGATGGCTCAACTGGTAAAGACATTTGCTGTGCTAGCTTGGTGAGCTGAGTTCAGTGCTCCAAACCCACAAAAAAGTAAAAGAGAACCAACACCAGAATGTAGTCCTCTGACCTTCACCTGCACTGTGACAGACAGAGGAGACTGCCACCCTCCCTTCACCATGCACCCATAGACACATAGTAATAAATAAACAAACAATAAAAACAACAACAAAACAAAAAACCTAAGCCAGAATGGTGGTATAGGACTTTAATCCTAGCACCCAGGAAGTAGAGACAGAGATCACTGCAAATTCAAGGCCAGCCTGGTTTACCCAAAAGTGCCAGATCAGTTAAGAGCTGCATAGAGAGATCCTGTCTCAATAAAACAAAGAATGGGGCTGTGGAGGCAGCTCAGGGTAACATGCTTGCCGCATAAGCATGAAGAACAGCTGGATTCCCAGCACACATGTTAAAAATAAAACAACAAATTAATTAAAAGTAAAGCAAAAATAATTTGCCAATAAAAATAAATAATTAATTAGTTAAAACCGGCCGGGCACAGAGGTGTTCTGGAGATGTGGAGATGGGAGGACCTCTGGGGCCTGCTGGCCAGCTAGGCAAGCTAATCAGTGAGCTCCAGGTTCAGTGAAGACCTGTCTTCAAAAAATAAGGGGAGAGCAAATGAGGAAAACACTTGACACTCACCTCTGGCCTTCACACCTGCTCACATACACACAAGCACACACAAACAAACATACAGAGACAGAGATGAAGAAAAAAAATATGGAAATTTGCAAACACAGAATCTGGAACTAACTGCTTAATGCACCAAACACAGTTTGGACAGTTAACAAGCAGACACCACAGCACCCTCCCACCCTGGGCCTGGTGCAGGAGTTCCTTCTGTCTGTGTGTTGCTTTCATTGGATAAGTTTCTTTAAACTGCCTTTGCCTAGTTGATAGGGCGGAACTTAGGTAGGCGGAGAAGACAAAACTGAATTCTGGGAGAAAGAAAACAGATAGAGAGAACCGCCATGGAGCCCCCAGAATCAGACATGCTGAATCTTTCCGGTAAGCCACAACCTCATGGTGATACATACACAGATTAATACAAATGGGTTAAATCAAGATGTGAGAGTTAGCCAATAAGAGGCTAAAGACAGAGTTTAGGACAGAACCTGGGGCTCAAACATGCTAGGCCCCACTCCACCACAGCACAACCCCAGCCTGAATCAACTTTTTTGTTAAAGACAAAACAATTAAAAGCTTATGCTTTAGGACATTAATCAGAGGTGTTTCGCTCACGTCAAGCATTTTTCCTTTGAATAGTTCCAGATAAATACTGCCTTCTATATTTAGCATCTGTCTGTGAGGCAGATGGTAAAAGTGGGGTGAAGAATGGTTGGTGACATGTGAGAAGACAGATTCACACACACAGAAATTTAAAATGTACCACAGTTAGAATATTAGGGCTTGGGGGCTGGGGATTTATTTAGCTCAGTGGTAGAGGGCTTGCCTACTAAGTGCAAGGCCTTCGGTTTGGTCCTCACCTCCAAAGGGTTAAAAAAAAAAAGAAGGAAGAAAGAAAAAGAGGGAGGAAGAGAAGGAGAAAAAGACCAGATTGTCCAGAGTGGCTCATGCCATCCATCCCAGCACCTGGGAAGACCTGCCTGAGTCACAACATGAGTTCTGGACTAGCCTGAGACCCTGTGTGCCTTCTTACCACAACCACCAAAAAGATATAAAATACTAATACTAATTTCTCAAATAATTCCTCCAGGTAGTTTCAGACTATAAATTTAATGGCTATTCTCTCAGCCAGATTCACTGGGCGAAGGCTTTATGTGAACCAATTTATTGAAGTTCACAATCACCTGAGGAACATTAAAGGCACTAGCTGCCCAAGGTCAATCAGCTTTTCTTACTGAATTACAGGCTTCATCTTCAAACTGTAGGGTTAATGATGCCATTATCATTTCTGTATTGTTTCTCTGGAGCAAATACTTCAATGTGATGCACTGAGCATGTTCAGCATTCATGATTAAACAGGCGTATCACATACCACGGAGATTTTTTTTACTCTGTAAGAATTATTACACACCCTACCTGTCAAGATCTTATAGCCTTGCAGATACCCCTGCTGCTTCTATATTCCCAGTGCTGGGAAAACTTCATGGAGAGATTTACTGATAAAGATCTTGCTTTTCTAGATTCTAAGGTTATTTCTTCTCACTTCAACTCACCTGGCTTGACAGACACTGACTACATTGCTGTCCTCCCCCCCCCCCCACACACACACATACACACAACTTTTAAAATATCAGCATAACATTTGCAGCTTCCAAGCTGGGCATTCCTATCTCATTTATCCTTGCAGGACCTTTTTTTCCCCCAGTGTGGTGGTAGAGCTTCCCTAAGGAGCATGGCTCCTCAGACCCAACACAAGACTTCTGAAGAGTAATGAGGGCAACGTTGAAGGCCATGTCAATGGAATAGCAAATAGTTTGGAACTCACGGGATATGAACTGGCGGACAGCTTACTCACACTGGGTGAGGCTTGGAGAGGCAGAGCCCCAAGGACTAAATGTCCCGAGGACTTCATGCTGTTATTGAGCATATTGCTGTTTATTGCCCTCGAGGTCACCATGTCCCTCAAAATCTATGAGTTGTATGAAAACTCTAAGGGGATTTCTAATCCCTCACTAGGGATTAAGAAAACAGTGATTGACTTTTTCCAGGCATTGCTGCTGGAGGAGATTAATGATACGTAGATTGTTAGTAAAAAGTTAGACTAAGATGTTTTTGTTAATGGCTTTGATGTAGAAAATCTTGGGGAACAATTTAAAGTTAAGAAAGGCACACTTTTAATAGTTGATCGAGGAATTCACTGAGGTCAAGGAACAAGAACAAAGGCAGCCCAGTTATTAGTAGCTGACGCGCCTTTCTTGCTAAAGATGGGTTGGTGATCAAAGGGGATGATAAATTCTTGTACCCATTTCTGCCCCCAGCTTCGATATAATAAAAAAGAACCTATTGATAATTGGGTGTGCACCTTGAGGATAAAAGTAGAAATAACTGATTGTTTTATATATACAAAGTTTAGATTTGTGATTATTTCAATTTTTTATAATATTACTTTTAGAGATAAATAATAAAATGATTGA